TTTTATTTTTTATTTTTATTTTTTTGTTGATTAGGACCGGGAGGAAAGTATAGTTTGGTTGGTTACCTACCTGCGTTTTCCGTCCCACCCAACCCTTTGCCTGCATTCTCGGTTTGGTACAGTGCCACGTAAGCAGTGCCACGTCACCAACAGTGCCACATCAGCGTTGCCACGTCAGCAATGCCACATCAGCAACAGTGCCACGTCAGTAGTACCCCGCCACCATAACAGTCTCAGTTTTGGGCATGCCAGGCCAACTGGCCAATGAGTCCATTGCCGAGTACCGACAGCGGTTCCAGGCTCAGCTCGCACTGATCGAGGCTGAGGAACAATGTCGGGCGGCAGCCGAGGCTGCCCGCCTACAGTTTGAAGCGGCGGCAGCAGCTGAAAAGCAGCGACTTCTGGTCGAAGCAGACGCAGATACCCAGGCACGCCGCAAGGAGGCCCAGGATCTGCTACAGCGGCACGAAGCTGCCAGCATCGAAAAGCTAAAGTTTTGGCATTTTGAACCATCCGAGCACCATGAACGCGCGACACCGGAAGAGCAGCACAAGGAGTTTATTGTCAAACTCGTGACCCGGTTGGTTTACACTTGTGACCACCTGCAGTCCGAGCTAGCGAATCTCCGACAGGCGGTGCGGAACCACAAGGATCTGCACGAGGATGCTACACGGGCACTTGATTCCCGTGGACAGGACTTGGAGCAAGTTGCACCAGGACCAGATGCTAGCGAGTCCAACAGTGCACCCTCTACCCGCCAATTGGAGGAATGAGTTGACAACGTAGTCGCAATGCTCGGCGACATCAGCACCTTCGCTGCACCAGCCACCATCAGCAAGCAGTTGAACACCTTGAAGACCGAGGTTCAACAACTGCACCAACTCCCCAACAAGGATGGCAACACCAGTGCGCAGCACTACAAGATGCCGACATTCCGCATGGAAAAGTTCGATGATTATACGCATCAAGACCCGGTCCCCTGGTGGGAGGGCTTTACGACGGAACTTCGGATTCTTTTTGTCCCCGAGCACTCGTACATCGGCGCGTTGTTCCTCAACTCAAAAGGCGGATGCCAGATCTGGCTCAGCCACTTGGCAACCATCCACGACGTCCAAGTCGCCGATCTACATAAGAAGATCTCTTGGGACGAGTTGACAAAGCTATGGAAGAAGCGGTTCATCGTGGACGACGCCCCAGCGCTCACCATCAACCGCCTCTTCAACATGACTCAAGGCAACACACCAACGCATGACTGGCTCACGAAATGGCAAAAGATTGTGGCAACGCCCGATCTCGAGTTGCCATTTTCGCATCTACGCCGAGAGTTCTACAACCGGTCATGTGTCGGCTTGAGCCTCGCACTTGGTGATCGCGAGCAATACACGACCTTCGCCGAAACCATCGACAAGGCAAGGGAGATCATCAAGACCAACAGGGCGGCTGCACACGAGAAGTCGGCGTGGCAGCCAACCTATGTGGAGAAAGGAAAATTTGGTCCGCGTCCGCAGCATGTCGCTGCAGTGCAACCGGACAACATTGTGGAAGACCCGGCAGCCACCCATGCATCACGTGAGGGAGGTCAGGTGGCCGTTGTCCAGCCGCGAAGCAACAATAACTCCCAAGGAAACGGGAAGGCGAAAACCGCATCGCGGACCGAAAATTGACAGCCAGCACCATGGGTCAAGTTTCACTTGACCGAGGCCGAATACAAGTGGCGCGGCCGGTATGGTTGTTGCTATTTGTGCAACAGCACTAAGCAAAAGACCTCCCTATGCCCGGATCAAGGCAAGGAGGATGTTCGGCCTCACATCAACTCGGGCAACTGAGTTGCGTGGGAGGTGAGGCGACTCCACCTCTCACTCTGCCAGATTCGACCGCCTTGCTAGCGGCCTCCTACACATCTAGGGAGGATGCGAATATCGCGAGTCCTCGGTTCACTTACGAGGCAACCGATTCGGCAGCTTCGCCGCCATCTATCGTCGGGGATTCGACGTCATGGTCAAGACTTGAAGAGCTTGACTCGTTGACATTTGTGGACTTCCAATGGATGTCCCTTCCCCCGTCCGGTTGATTTGCCGAAACTGCATTGCAACGTGCTCATGGCACAATCGCGGGATTTCCTTGCACTCTCTAAACCTAGCAGACGCTACCGTTCTTTTTACTACTAATTTTATTTCGGTAGTCTGTTTCCTTCATAAGACTTCCCGCACAATCTTCCCAATCAAACAATCAATCAATTTATAGGTCAAAATTATTAATAACCGCCACTTGCGCAAATAATTAAACAGAACGTCACATATCTTATCTCATAGACGTTATCAAAACTTCTTTTATATGCCTAATTTTCTCTTGATCCTATACGCGAATGTAGTTCCACCACGGACAACGGTAGGCTTCCTGCCAACGGTGCCACCTATCGCGCGCATCGGTCCGGTACTGCACGAAATGGGGCGGGACCCTCCCGGCCACGTCACGCAGGAGTTGATCTGATCCTCGTTGTGAATACACGTGGAGCTTCCGCAAGCTGCTCCGGTCGACTGCGCCAGCCATACCTCTCGCGAGCCCCTACGACAGGATAGGGCCTACGCGAGGCCCTACTTACCTCCACCTTACAGGAGTTGTCACCTCCCTTCGGTGGGCATATCCCCGCCGAGCTACCAGTCCACACGAAAGTTAATCAACTGCAATCGCAAAGGTGGATCAACCGAGGGCGTTTCTCATTCGTTGTAGCATAGGGGTTACGCGCGGTTTTACGCCTCTATTGGACCCGCACGCTGAACCGACGCCTTGGGGGGCTGAGGTCCCAAGCGCGACTCGTCGTCGGTCGACTAAGACGTATCTCACACACCATACGCACACCACTCTAAAGAACATAAAAATAAAAACACACATACACATACATACATGACACAGAACAAACAACGAGACAACACTCCTAGTCCCTTAGTAGCTAGCCCATAACTCTCCGATGCGGAAATCGAATAGGCGTCGTGTGCAAAACTTAGTATAAAACCGTGCGGACGTGGAACCTCCCATAACGCAAGCACTCATGATGATGGCGTACTACGTAGTGCCCATAATCAAGAGGTCCCTCGTGGATTCGAGTACCGCCTATGACTCTCAAGTGTCAGATTCAAAGTATCATGAAGGTCTACCCCTTCACGATATTGCACGACTGAAGGAACAGCCGTGCAGCCTCCGTGACACTTCCGGCCTTTAGGCTGAGTGCTCCGGCAGGCACGACAAATAGGCTCTGCGCGGGGGGAGATCCCTTCCATGCAGAGTCTAGGACCTGGGATGTCCTGGACAAGGACCTTGAACCCAGGCCCAGGACCAACGTCCAACTAAGAAATCTTTAAGAAACATACAACAAATAGAGGGGTTTTCTTTCCTTTTCCAATCTCAATCCCAATTAGACTCTTAAGTGTAGGGCCCCTCGGGTCACGCAGACACCCAACATACATATATACATATATATGTAAAGGGAGAATAAGTATGTGACGATCACTTTTCACTATCACAGTGAGACTCCTCACAACCATATATATGTGTGTGATCGCAGACAGTCAAATCCAAAATTCGAGTCACAGAACATACCTGCAATCACATCAAAGAGTCAATCAAAAGTCCATGCACTACACAGAGTCAACTTCAATCAATCTCTATACTCATACCCCTCGCTTTAGCCATGCAAGCCCCAACCTTTGTCCAACCTTCCATAATTAAATACTCAGTACCTTTGTTAAATGGACATTCAATAAAAGTCCGGGTGAAAACCTTAATAAAACAACAAAAATAATCAGGGCTAAAGTCTTTTAGGTTAAGTATTGAGGATGAATTGGAGTCGAGTCGTAGACCGACGAATCGGCAACCGACCTGTTATCAGTGATAACAGAGGGTGATTCTTATAGGATTAAGCTGAATCTAACCGCATAGGGGTGCCATTACTGCAATCCGTGATATAACGGCCTAGTAGTTGTTGAGAATCTGGCCTTGAATGGGGTTCTAGAGACTAGGAAGGAGGGTGCACAGTTGTTTGACACTTGTCACAGCTGAAATAAAAGGAAAAGAGAAAAAAAAGGGAGAAAATGGAGGGAGAATGAGACAAAAGGGAAGAAATGAGTGGAGGGAAATGTGCCGGCCTATTGGGACTGCCGCAGTAGGGACTGGCAGGTCCCTATAATGACCTCATCCCTCCTAGAGTCAAGAAGGGCAGTCCGGATTGCAGAGATATAGCCCTTGGGGCCATATCTCCACAAAATCTGAATTAAAAGAGAGAAAATAAGGGAAAATGCATAAATGAGTTGGCCGTTTTCTTTTGTGGACCATGGATCTGAGATCAGATCTTATGGTGGAGAGGAACTAGCCGTTTTTTGTGGGCCAGCACAAAACGGCTAGCTCCGGAATGAGGTGGCAGCCCAAATGGAAAGAAAACAAGAGAGAGAAAATAACAAAACTGTGCATTTGGCCCAAAAAGAGAGTCGGATGCATTAAAAATTGGGAGTGTGGAGTTTGGGGCCCAAAATTGAAGCAAGGGCCACTTGGGGGTGGCACGGAATATTCCTGGCCTTGGATCTCAGCCAAATCCAAGGCTGAAGATGCACCGCCACTTGGAAAAATGCAACGGCCTACTAAAAAAGAGGCCAAGGTCAGAAAAAGCAAGGAAATGGGTCTCTAGGCCCTTGTTTTTCAAGTAAGGCTGCCCCTTGGGCATGAGGACCTTATGAAACAACATTTCTGAAATTGAAAAGAGGCCAAGGGAGGCCAAGGGGTAGTTCGAGTAAGTACCAGCCACTCGGACTGCATGTACCTGGCCAAAATGAGGCTCAGGTACCTCCAGAAGAAGCCTAGTGCTGAAATCTTGCCTTGGGGGTACCTCGGTTCACCTTGAGGCACAAGGGGAGGCTCATGGGCTGAGCGGTGTACCAGTTTCAGCCTACATAAGTTGGGAGTTCAATCCGCCACTCCCACATTTGCATGAGAGGAGCCCATGCTGCCCAAATGAGCCCGTGAGAGAGCTCTACTCACTTGAAGTGAGGGGAGGGGAACCGCTGCCAGTATTGGAGCTTGGAGATGGTAGTGAGCTAGAGGAGGCTCTAGAGGCTAGGTGATAGTAAGGGAGGTGGTCCGCCATAACCCCCAGGCTGTGGGAAAGAGAGAGAGGCTAGAGGGAGTCTCATTAGCCCTCCTAGAGGGGAGGACTCCATAGCCAAAGCAAGAGAGGTCTGCCATAGCTTAAGGAGAACGTGATAGAGGAGGAGGAGATGAGTTTGAGGAGGGTGGAAGCCATAGCCAGCGAGTGAGCATCAAGGTTGAGACTCCACCTGCAAACCACCAATAGAGGTGAGTGGGAGGAAGAAGCTTCCTTTTTTTCTTCCTCTTCTTCTTCTTCTTCGTCTTCTTCTTCTTCTTCTTCTTCCTCTTCTTCATCTTCTTCTCCTTCCTCTTCTTTTTCTTCTTCTTCTTCTTCTTCTTCTTCTTCCTCTTCTTCTTCATCCTCTTCTTCCTCTCCTTCTTCCTCCTCCTCACTCGCATTCTTCTTCATCTTCTTCTTCTTCTTCCTCTCCTCTTTAATCTCCTCCATCTCTTGATTTTCACCTATTTGGTATTATGTAGAGTGCGATTCACCATGGATGCTCCGCTGCTCTCCCCTTGTGTTTTGGCCTGTCCACTCTCTTGTTTTACTCTCATTTGGTAGTAGGTAGAGCTGCGATTCACCCATGGATGCTCCGCTGCTCATCCCTTGTGGTTTTGGTCTGTCCAAGCTCTTGTTTTCTCTCATTTAGTAGTAGATAGAGTTGTGATTCATCCATGGATGCTCCGCTGCTCATCCCTTGTGGTTTTGGCCTGTCCAAACTCTTGTTTTCTCTCATTTAGTAGTAGATAGAGTTG